TTTTAATGTAATTGAGGAATTTCACCTGCAATTAACAGGTGAAAATGCTGATGATGCAAGAGAGCTCAGTTTGACTAGCCTAAAGGAAAAGAAACCTTGTTCTTCCTTCTTAAGATATGACACAAGCAATGCTCTCTTGAGTGCATTAAAAAAAATAATAAACCAGAACAGATCATAAAGGCTTCATTGAGGAGGAAAGAATAGGACAATACAGATTCAGTGGTCTCAAAACTGAGCATGCAAAGAGCGTGTATTTTAACTTTCTACTAACAACTCCTTTAGAGGTTTCCAAAACCCTTGTTGCACTGAAAATTTTAAGACCATAGGAGGAACAGGAAATGGTTAGTCACAAAAATCCTCAAAATAATAAATAGAAACTTGTTCTTGCACTACACCAGGGCCTGTTGATAATATCTCATAGGAAACGTGCTCATGGCTATGTTTGTCTTTATGGTACTGCACAGGTGTTCCTTTTTATGTTTGGGGATTTTTTTCCCTCTTGTTGCATGTGTCAGGGTTTCTATTTGTTCAATGCAGCTGCAAGGAGTGGTGACAGTCAAGTGGATTTTCCTCAGAAAAGTAGTATTTTCACACACAGAGGGGAGCAGTCGTAGCAAGACCAACTTCTCTTGCCTCCCTGTTGGGAGCTGCCAAAGCAAGACCTGTAGTTAGACCTGTCTTCTTTCCAGCTCTCCATTTGCAATGCTGGCAAAAGTGCAGGGCAGGGACTAATCCTCTTGGAATGCAGCAATTATCACTAAATAAGTATTAATTGCTGCATTCCAAAGGGATTAGCACAGTTGAACCCAATTATGGCAAATCGAAGCTAGAGTGTAAGGCACTACAGTGCATTGAAATGCAGTGAAGCAATGTAGGACTGTCAGTCTGCAGCGTTTTGTCAATAAAAATTGTGGGCTTACACACTACAAACAGCAGACCATTTCAGTGTATTAGTCTCCTGCATGAATGGCATGTCTGGCTGGAGGCTACAGCTTGCCCACCAGCGAAAATTGTCGCTTATTTAACACCCATTATCTTCACGTGAACATCTCCAGAAATGTTTTTAATACTTGTTGGGTTGGTTATGGTGCTGCCCGGTGTCACTCCCTGCTGGATCAGGGGCAGGACTGTGCGGTCTGTCTGGATGCTCCTGTCTCTAAAGTTGGCCAGCTCCTCCATCAGGTGAGGTAGGAATTAATTTTGCCTGCAAGTGCTACCTGTATCAAATAGGCTTAGGAGAGCTTCTGATAACCTAGCTGTGCTCAATCCCAGCAGTCTGCAGCGATGATTACAGGCATATCTCTGTGGTAGCAACACACGAGCCAGAGGGCAGTGTGTAGTTATTTTTTTAATCCTCAGCTTGACTGTGGTGTGGGTTTGTTTTTTAGTTTTCATTTATTTCCTGTTAAAACTGCAAACACTGCTGCTTTTTTTTTCTTTTTGTAGCACTGTCAAAGCATAACCAGTAAGCGTGAAAAGGGAATGTTTCTAGGGATGAATCAGCCCCTTGCATTAGAGCTGCTCCAGGATTTCTTGTGTCCAGAGGAAGAATGGCATATGGATGCACAGAAGCTGTTGAACGTATACCTTAACTATTTTATGAAAGATGTTATCCTTGCAGATAATGAGCTGCACCTTAACTGGCATTAAACACACTGACTTGTACTTGGGGACCACTTCAGTTCCCTCACCCATTCTGTTTCAGGAACCACAGATCAAATATTTGCAGTCTTCCCAGTGCAGGTAATTCTCGGAAATGCACTTTCCTCCACCTGTATGTTTAGATAAAAAGTCAAGTTTAGCTGAGGGCTTTTTTTTTTTTTTTTTTAACACAGCAGGGAGGGTTTTATGTTTCCACTGTGGCCTTGACTGTATTGAGAAAAATAGCTTCTGGTTCAGCTGAACTAGGGTTGGCATTCATTTCTAGTCCTGGGTTAACGAAGTTCTTACGGTCTGAGTGAAGTGAGTAAACTGAAATGTCAGTATGGTTTAAACTGTTGGTAAAAATGCTTGTGTAAGATTGTCCAGTGCACAGTGTGGCAGGAGATGCCGAAGGTTTTATGTGCTGTGTAGTTCCTAGAGATGCAAAGAATAGACAGGCTGAAAAGAAGGCGACACTGAGCAAACAATTCCTCACTGTGTAATTGCAAGCTGTGTGAACACAGAAGAGCTTTCTCCAGGAGACCACTTCCCCTTTTTCTTTTCCTGTACTGCTCGACTGCATATGATTTGCATCTCCCATGCCATGCTTGTGGTGTGAACAACTCATAATACAAGAATGAGTGCTCTTTTGTATACTTTCATTGTATTTAAATTATAATGATAAGCTTGTCTTTATTCAAAAGCTGAGGGATGGGGAGGTGAGAATTTCTAGAACTGTCATGCAAAGCCTTTTTCTGACTCTACCCACACTTCCAACTGAAGTCCATATACTCCATTCCTCTGACCTTTCCCTACCTAGACATCAAACTACACTGGCCCAACTGCTGTTCTCCCAGTGTGCCTGCTGTTGCCATTAATCTCCCTTTCTTATACAGCTCTTCATTTCTTTTCCTTACCTTTGGCCTCAACTCTTTATTCAAAGTGATAATTTGCTGGCTTTCTGCCGGAGGGAGAAGCTATGATCAATAACAGGAGGAGACAGGGGTCAGCAGAATAGTGATGAGCAGTGCCATCTGCTCCTCTGAAAATACCGTTACCCAAAAATATCAATAACTAGGATGGTATTATTTTGGCTTTTGGATAAGCCGACTGTGAGATTTAGGCAGCCTGCAGTGAGAGCAGGGGTCTTTTCCTGCTCACTAATTCCTTGTTTCAGCCAATCTTCTGTTGCACAGAGGAGTGGACAGAAAGGGCTTTATCCAGCTTGTGTTGGAATATAGAACATGTACCTGAGCACAACCATTTCTGGCACTAATGACACCTTTTTCAGGTTCAGTGCACGGCAGCTCTCATGGGCTGTGCTTTGCTTTCTGCCGGCTGGTGACTCAGAGCCCATCTCCAGCCTTTCCTTGTAGCTTTTGGGGTGGAAGAACCACAAAGAAAACCCTCCCCAAGGCTGGGGAGAGAGCAGAGGCTCAGCAGTACTGTCTAGGTATCACAGAATGGCATGCTGCACTAGGTTTTGGGTGCTGGAGTAATACTAGTGTCTAGTAACTTCTGTGTTGACTAGCACAATATTTACTACATAAAAGGAAAGGATGGTTTTGTCAAAGCCTTTGTTACTACAGACAGCAAGGTGACGAATTTCCTCCAAGAACTTCAATTTACTTTTCTTTCAAAAGATTGTAGATACTTACTTCATGTGTACACAATAACTCTCATGCTGCCATACTCTTGGGAAATTGTTAGCACCAGCCCTGTTCCTGTACCTGCTGGAGATGCACATTCCTCTTTCTTTTCTAAGAATTAGAAATGGGGGGGGGAAAAATATTCAATTACACACTGGTGCTTCCTCTCAGCCTAAGCCCTGACCCTGAAGTGTATTAGTAGTGCTACTGTTATAAACACTAAACACTTGGTGTTCTGTTGAGCTAGATGTGTTTTAATGGGAGTGAGGCTGAGCCTTAAGGTTCATCTAATTAACATTTTCAAGATTTTCTAATTCATGGTTGTTTAAAATGAGCTTTTAGTTATTGTTGTTAATAAAAGTGGAAATTTTTATTTGTCCACATTTGAAAAGAGATTTCTTACAAACTGGGAGGTGGCATCACTGTGTCAAGTTTTGTGATTTTCATGTAAATACCCTACATGCTTTGCTGAGAAATGACTTGTCTGATACCTCCTCCTCAGGAAGTTTTAGAAAAAAACTCCAGATTTCACTTTTCTTAGTTTCATTTTGTTACGCTGGGCTTTTTCCCTGCTCTATTGCTCTAAATGGATCCCAGTCAGCTGCCCCATGTAGGCAGGCACAGGAGAGCCAAGGGGGGCAGGGGTTTAGGGCAATGTGGGAATCACTGCAGCCATCGTGCTGGATGGACAAAATGGAGCTGTGGGAAGCCAGGCCTCTCCCACGTGGCTGCTGGGCAGACCTGCTTGGTTTTGTCACTCCAAGGACTGCAACATGGGGCTGAAAACCCTTATCTCTCAGACTGCAGTCACCTCCAGACCTGCTCCTGGGATGTGCTGGTGTGCCTCGGGATCTGTGGCTGGAGGACAGCTCCAAGCAGCAGGCAGGTTGTATCCCATGGCCCACTCAGCAGGTAGGTCAGGCATAGCTACAGGCTGCCAGGCTTTCTGTTCCAAACGGAGTGAGGAAGAGATGCACACTGTGCTCTCCCACAGGGATGACCCAGGCTCTGCTCCCTACGGACTCGGGGGACAAAATGTCTCTCGAGCTCTGCAGGCACTGACACCCCTTCAAAATACAAGAGTGCCACGTGTTCACATTAAAAAGCATCTGCATTTCAAAGATAGGTACCTCTGCAGAGAGCCAGGCAGGGCCAGCTGAGCTGGTATTTTATGTCCTGTGGGTGCTCTCTGCAAGGACAGGTAAAGCCCAGCTCTCCCTGGTGCTGTCCACCCCACAGCCCTCAGAGTGCAGCCGCTTCCAGTTGCTCGTGGCAAAGCTGTATTTCCACTAGATTTAGAAATGAGCTTTACATCCGTACCAGTTTAGCCAGTTATTGTTCGAGAGCAACTTATAGCTTCCAATTTTAAACTACTATTTATGCCATGTGTTGCACAGTGGGAATAGTTAAGTAGGTCCCTTTTGAAGTCAGGCCAAACTGGATAGCAGGTACAGAGACCAGCAGCTGCCGACTTGGGGATGACCCAGGAAGCACTAGACAAAGTGGAAAAAAAACCCCCCGCCGAAAACTATCTCACGAAGAGCAAAAGGGTGAATAAAAATACAAAAGGAAACCCCAAACATCAACACTGAGAACGCAAACCCCAGCCCTGAGAGGCTGTGAAGGCAGAGGAAGCCGGCAGGTGGACTCCAAAAGCCCTCACAGGAGGTGAGCTGCTTCCTGTGGCGGTGGCACACGAACAGAGCCCGTGCAGGAGCCACTTCTCCTCCGTGCCTGTGGCCTTCTGCTCCCACAGCACCGTCTGGGCGAGCAAGATGAAGTGGAGGAGGATCACCATCCTTGCCACCCTCCAGGCACAGCTCCCAGCCACAGGTAAGGAAGGCTTTGGTTTCATGAGGGGCTATCTCAAAGCTCTTTTGAGGAGAGGGCACGACGTTCCTGCGGTGGGTTCCCCACCATTTTGGTAGCAGGAGGGTGTCTGCACGAGCACCGCAGCCACGTCTGTCCTCCTCCTCGTGGCTGGAATCATGGCCTGCTGGGACCAAGGCAGCAGGATCGGCTGTGTGGAACTTCCCTGGGGTAGAGAGACGCTATTGAGGGCTGGGATGAGATGCTGTTCTCCTGCTGGAGCAACTGCCACAGCTGAACAGCAACTCCTGATTAAATAAGGCCCTCAGCTGGGCAGCTTTCCTTGCAATTTAAAAGGGGAAATTTGAGACACTAATGAAAAACTAGTTGTTTGGAGTAATCTGCACAGGAGAGGCTTTTAATTTGAGTGAGGCAAGATGAGAGCCGTGCTGGTGGCTCGTTTGCAGCCCACGGCACACCCGGCAGGCGGGAAACGGGGGCACAGGTGGTGAGAGAAAGGGTAGGGACCTTCCTTCCACGCCCCTGCCTTCATGCTTGCCTCCACTAGGCACAGCACAAAATTTAAGCCACTCTTACCTCCGTGTGTTTACTTGTGTGCTGCATACACTGGCCCCACTCGGGCACAAAGTGAAGCAGCTTCAGTGGGCACAAATCTTTGGAAATCGTGTCAAGTTTGGGAAGGAGAAATTTATTTCTTAGTAAGTAGCACAGTAGATCAAAAGAGCAACAAAATTTACATCTGGAGAAGGCCTCAGCCGAGGTCTGAATGTGGAGAATTCAGGCCACGTTTGAGCTTGCATTAAAGCAAAATCCACCGGAAGAGTTTCACCCATGACAGACACCCCAACTGCATGTAACAAACACAGCATCCTTCAACTGGAGAGCTTTGGTGACTGCCACAGACTTTATTTCAGAGTTTTCTGGACACGACAGGAGGGCTTTGCAGCTGCTTGCTAACGCCGTTGGACCAGTTCTGGTTCATTTGTGGAGGTTCTGTTTCAGGAGAGTTTTAAGTGGAGTTTTATGCTTTGTGGCAGACCCTGCCTTCTGATCACCCTCTGTTCAACCTCTGGGGCCTCTGTCCCTCCCTGACACCCAAGTATGATCCTGTACTTACAGCATACTTCTGGTACTTCTATTCTGTACACTGCTCTGTATCCACAGATACACGTAAGGGCTATGAAGGTATGGAAATTACTTCAGGTCAAAATGCACCTGCAAAAACATCTTTTTTGCATCACCTCCTTTTAATCTGTCACAGAGTACCAGTAGTTCAGGCCCCTCTTTGTACATTTTCAGCAGAAAACATTGACTGAAAAATATATAATGCAGTTTGCAGGTGGGTAAAACCCATAGAGGTCTCTGGTGCAAAGCTCTTATTCACAATCACAAGGAATACATGGGACTGAGTTTCAAACTGGATACTGTTGTCGTTGGAGATGTTTGCCTATGGGTTTGAGGGAAACAATTTTTGACTGGATACTGGGAATAGCTTGAAGAATTTAGCCTAAATATTGAAGTATTTAGCCTAAGAAGAAATAGAAGAAGTACAGGTCAAAACATGTGGAATTGTTGCTACATTACTGATGCAAAATAGACAGTAACAAAAATGTAAGATTGCCATGAATGTAGTTCAAAGATGAGACTGAAAAAAAGGGGGTTTCTGCTCAGAGATATGAACAGAAACAAATATTTTCTGCTGCCTGGAGTGTTTTCAAGCTTCCTTAGAACTCACTTCTAGAGTGACTTCTAGAGAAATTAACTTTTTTTTTTTTTTAATAAAACAAGCTGGGAGTGGACAGGCTCAGAAAGCTGGGTATCTCCTTACAGTGAGTTCATTCCACTTCACTGTAATGTGTTTGTGCTTATTCTTCAAATGGTTGGTTGAAAGATGCCACCAAGATTAGCACTGATGAATTGCAAAACCTTTCTTTTTGAACTTTTGAGTACTGGAGTAAATGTCACGCATGAGAAAAAGAAATGTTTAAAAATAAGTAATTCTAAAGATGGACCATGAATTCTGATGCAGATTTTCAATTATTGACACCAGACCACAAATTTCAAAATGCTCGGATTTGACCTTTAAGCAGTAACAGAAGGAAGCCATAGCATATACACATTTAATTTTCCTTATTTCCCCCTTCAAAGGTACAGAGGTGTACATCTGGAAGTTCAGTTGAGGTCCCCTTATAACCCCTCTGTTAAAAACTGCATAAAAATTAACAATTTGAATTTCTGAGCAGATAACTTTGTCAGTCATGTTGTTCACTGAGATACAAGAAGAATATTAAAAGACTTCTACCCAAATATCACAACTAAAATGGCAAAAATCTTCATACTGTTCACAGAGCTTTTAGTCTGAAGTATGACAGGCTTCAATAGCAATAAAACAGTCCTGTGGGCAATATTATAGAATTGCTCCCTGCTTTTTTTAAGGCTGAGACAACACTTTGGTTTGTACAAATACACATCACACATACGTAAATGAATATATGTGCAAGAGTTTAAGAATAGCTCTTCCCTGTTCATCACTTCTTTACAAACCCACTTTTCTCAGAATTCTCTGCTAACCAGAACTGAGCATTGTCCTGTTTTTTGCTGACTCCATGGGAACTAATAATGTCAGTCTTTACCAGATATTACTTGCACAGCTTATTTTCTCAGTATTTTTCTGCTCTGCATGACTGTGTGTTCTGCCCATTGGGTGCCATGATGCCAGCAGCCTTTTTTCAGTCAGTTCACAGAAAGGTAACGGGTCTTAGCATTAATTTTTTTCCTTCCCTTTCATCAGATGATTTCGCTGGCCTACAAACTACAAGATTTCCAAACCAGAAGTTGTTTACAAGCTTGTCTGAGAAATCCAAACAAGTAAATTCAGGCTATTTCCGCTACCATCCCCACGTCCTTAGGCACCAGCTGAAGCTCTCCTGGCTGAATTCTTGTTACACCTAGGGGGAGAAAAATATTTAAAGGCTTAATTTTACGTGTTTTATTTCCTTTCTCTCCTGCCTGTTCACAATGATTCATTAATAATTCATGGGGGAAAACGATGAACTGGCACATTGGTGAATGGAACAAAATGCAGGCAATGTAGCCTTTCTTTGTAAAGGGACGTTTCTGAGCTCTTGCAGTGCCATGTTCAATTCTCTGATGCTTGTTACAGAGTAAGTGCTTTCCATCTGAACCCTTCTGAGCAAAATTCCTAATGAGTGAAGTAACAAGCTAATGATTGCATTCTTTTTGGGTTCTTATGTGTGCTAGATGGGAAGGATATACAAAATAGAGAAGGCCGTCTGCAAAATATATTTATATTTCTTCTCTGTGTGTGTGTTCTGCTTAAGTAAGGCTATGTGGATAAAAAAACCAAAGTGGGGTTAGAAAAGAGCTTCACTAGCAGCTTAAAGGGGATAAGAAATTCATTTATAAATGCACATTCACGTGAGAAACATTTTTGACAGCCATTTTCTGTTGTTCACACAGAACTTGAACTGTGACTAGCACGATGGGTAAACCCTGCAGTAAGGAAAAATACATAGCTAGGAAACAAATAATTTATTTTTATGCATCTCCAAACTCTAACCAGTGTCCCTTTAAAAAAGAAAGAATAAATACTTGTTTGCACAATTGCAGGCAACCACCCCTCCCCTTCCCCAATTCACCACATATATGAATGTGTATATTGTGTGTGGAACTGTAAGATGCATCAGCTATTCTGGCAAGAAAATAGAACACATTTTTAAAGTGGCATGAATAGAAGATATAACTTGTTAAAATACTACTTAAAATATATATCCTATTAAAGGTGTCTGCTTTTTCCATGTGCATGTGTACTTGTAACTGTATTGCTGATTTTCACTGTTCTGCTGACACGACTTTAGCCAACAGCTAAATTAAAGTTTCACTGCTGTTTCTTTTTAGTGCTAATAAATACATGCTATTCCAGATTTTGTGAGAAGCTGAAATTTTGCAGATTTTTCTAATTTGTGCTCCTGTATAAGGTAATACTTTGAGACTCAGTTTGAATATTGTTTTCTTAATTAAATTCATCTCTGGTCCTTTAAAGAATACATAGTATTTTTAGCTTTTAAAGTATGACAGTCCGAATCAGATATTTTTTTTTTCAGGAAAGCAATGAATGCATTTATTTCTACTTTGTCCTACTCAATTGGTTTATAACTTCATATTAGAGATAAAATGTGCAGGCAAATGAAAAGCTTAGTTTGCAGTTCTTCGATCTACTCACTCAAACGCACAGATCTCGGGAGGCAGTGGAAATGCCTGTGTTTATCCACAATGGATATATCCACTTTGGTGAAAGTTAGACTTACCAATATGCAGTTGTTCAGTCCTTTGGCAGTTGAGCTATTAAAAATAGAAGTAAGGCTCTCCTGAGCCTCAGAGATCACCAGCACGGTGTTGTACAAGTTCTGTCTCAGTGGTAGAAGCCATCTCGATTCTTGAACCATGTAAATTGGAAATATTTCATTCCCTACAGATTTTCTAGGAATAAACAAACCACCAAGCAAACTTTGGAAGCCCTTCATGTATTTTTTTCTCAGTTCTTTGTTAGAAGCCTGTTAAGTCTTATAAGAAGAAGAACAGCAAGTTTGGAGCTTTCCCATCTTTATATACTTTCAGTATATGAGAGTATGTTAAACACTGTGCTTCTGGCCAGCAGTTTGTGGAGCCTGATGGAATTCTCATACTAACTGGCCTATTTCTTTCATGAGATGTATCTGTAGTGAAAATTTCATCTATATCCCGACTCTTTCTGAGTAGCAGAATGTTCCTTTTACTTTGTTTTGTGTTTTTAAGTGAAGGAGAAGCCATAATGATAACACAACTCTTTGAAAGCTCAGATAATACAGAGGTGAAATATATTCCAAATTAGAATTTGATGGAAGCTGACAAGGGAAAAGAGTTGGAAACTTTTCCACAAATGATAGGGTAAATTGTAGTAGGATGCAGCAAGTAAGTCTAGAGGGTGGCTAGTTATCAACACT